AGTGAAGTAACGTTCCTGTACCATTCACTCCTGGCTGCTTCAAAAAGTCGTTTTAGGAAAAAATGCAAGGGAAGGTGGGGGGGGGGAAAGCTAAGTGTCTGCATTAACCGGGTGTCGAACCTGGGCCTCCCACGTGGCAGGCGAGAACTCTCCCACTGAACCACCAATGCTACACCATTAGAAAGGTTTGCCACAGAGACCTAGGTGGTCTAGCAGCCGCCGGCTCCGCTTCTGCTCTCCGTCGAGGTTTCGGGCCCGTCGGTGGGGGACAGGTGGGGGAACGCGCCGGACAATCTAAGGGGACCCAGACCAGTGAGAATTTTCTCTGAGCAGTCGCACCCAGCTGGGACGCGTCAGCTTCAGGCCGTCCTAGCCCCCAAGCCCCCGCCCGCTAGTTCCCGGCCCCCAGGAGGCTGCCCGTTTCGGCACCGCGCCAGGGACCGCCCCCCCTCGGCCCTTACCGCGACCCCCCGGGGGCTGGGTTCGCAACGTCCCCGCGCTCTGCCGTCACGCTTTCCTTTCTCCAAGGACGCGCCTCCCACCCGCAGAATCAGCATCCCTGCGGCTTCCAGGCCGCCCCTCCAGACCTCCTGAAGCCGGAAAGCGGGGGCGGGGGCGGCCGGAACTCGCACCCGCGGGCCTGGGCGCGGGGGAACCAGGACGTCCTCCAAACGTCCTCCATTCAGACCCAGTGCCCCTATAGACCTCGCCCCTCGTGGGCTGGGCCTGAAATGGGGGCGTGGGCGCACAGCACCCGAAAGTTGTTTTAGAAACTGTGCTGCCCCCCGCACGCATCCCCTCCCGTCCCCCTCATCACCCCTCCAGCCCCAGGCGTAGGGGGCGCCTGAAGCTTCTGCAGCTGTATCCCTACAGAGCCTCGCTGCCCAGGCCGGGACCCACCAGTTCCCTCCCTGGAGATGCAGGGCAGAGGAAAGAAGGGGCAGAGGCCGGGCAGTGAGAGTCTGGGACCTCCCAAACTCCTTCTGTCTCCGCAGGCCTGGAGCAAAGAGGAAGGTGGCCTGGCCACAGCCCTCACCCTGCCTGGCTGGCCCTGCCAGTGCTGGGCGGCATCCTGGCGACCCCCACGCAAGGATTAAAGGCTCTCACACCCCCACCGTGGCTTTAGGCCCCGACTTAACTCTTCCCTTTCATGCTTTGCCAGACTAAGATCCAGAACGTCAGCTGTTCCTGGGTCAGGCAGAGGAAACTTTGGAGGGCCCCTATCTGGCTGGCCAGAAGGCTGTAGGCACTTGTCCCCCTCCTGTCACCTGGAGCCACCTGGAAAGTGCCCCTTCTCAGAGGCCAGACATGGGGAAGCTGTGGTCTCCCAAAGTGGCCTTGGTTAAGTCCTTCAAGGCTCTTCTAATGGAGAATCCTGGGGTTCTAAGGAAAAGTTGCATGCCTGAGTTTCTTCACGTTAAACTGCGGTCTAGGCAAGGACTCTGGCCATGGAGAGTGACCCCTTCTCCATTTGTCTCTGTTGCAGCAGGAGTAACTATGACCTGGACTACAAGCTGTACAGGGAAGATGTCCCCTACGGGTAGGTGGATCTTACTCCTCCGTCCTCTGGGTAAACAGGTGGAGCTGCTTGGCCTGACTCCCTCTCTGTTCCGTCCCAGTAGGGTGTATGAATACCCAAGGATCCCTCCACTCATCAATCGCGTGCCTGTTAAGATCCGGAGGACCCAGGTGGGCTTGGGGGTCAAGAGCAGCTTCAGTGCCCACAAGGGTGCCAGGAAGAGCCACCTGCCCCGAGAGCAAATAAAGCGTGAGTGAGGGGGCACAGCCCTTACCTACAGGGCTAGGGAAGAGTTGGGCAAACCTTAGCAGTGAGGGCAGGCCAGGGAGCCCTCTGCCCCCTGGGCCTGGTGGGACACCAGCTCTGGCCCCTCTCCAAACAGTCCAGACTGAGGAGCTGCACTCCATCAGGGGCGAGCTAAGCCAGATCAAAGCCCAGGTGGACCGTCTATTGGAGAATCTGGAGCGCATGGACCAGCAGAGGGACCAGCTTCCAGGTCGAACACCTCCAATTGTGGGCCCACATTCCCAGTGAGCTCCAGCTTTCCCCACGGCTGAGGGTGCCAGGGCACCTGGGGGCTTTCCGTCTGCAGGCCTCCTTCCTGCCCTCCCTTCCCCCTCTCCCTCTAGTTGTTCCACTGGCTTGGAGACCCTGTGGCTTCTGGGTTTTTCTGTGAGCCCCCCCCCCCCCACTCAGCAGCTATCCGGAGGCAGAACAGTGTCCCAGCCCCTCCCCATCTTGTCCTCTGAAGCCCTGGGTACCCTTGATCAGTGCTGGGCACCAAGTGGCCTCTTTGAGATCAGCTGGGGCCTCAAAACCTGGCCATTAACTGGTGACTCCCCCTGCACAGGGTCAGAGGACAGTGAAGAAACCAGGGGCCCAGGGAGTAAGGGTTCCTCATGCAGAATCACTGAACTCCAGCAGGAGCCCAGGGGCCAGAGGGCCCATCCCAAAGCAGACAGCTCTGAGGACAGCACGACCCAGAGGAGGCAGTGAGTGGCGTGGCGCCTCCCCTCATCCTCACCCTCCTTGCGTTTGGCTCCTTGTGGCCTCCCTGTGAGCAAGGGAGAGCCTCAGGTCCGTGCAGGAGCCCACAGTGGTGGTTGAGGGGAGACATGTGACATGTACCCCATTCAATCCCCAGAAGATGGGCCCTGCACTACTTTTTATCCTCTCGCCACTGGCTGGATGAGCTCAGGGGACTAGGGGCTTGTTCTGGCTTAAAATATCATCTCCTGGAAGCTGGGAGGTGGATTTCGAGCAGTGCAGAATGGCCCCAGACCCCTTGCCTGAGGCCCCAGAACCGGTTAAAACCCATTTCTGCCTTTTTCCTGCCCTGCCCCATCTTGTCAGGTACCATGCTCCCTGGGGAGGAGCCCTACCTGCCCTACCATATCCTCCTCCCTTATTGGTGCTCCCTGCGGCAGGCCAAGCCCCACGTTTGTTTGGGCCATCTCTGCGAGGTCCGGGATGCTGAGGGGCTGGCAGTAATGAGTCTTCCTTCCTCCACTTGTCCGGCTCTACCCCCTGGACTGCTGGGCTCTGGAGGGCCCTTACTGCTGCCCGGGCCTGAGTCACATCTGGGAAAAGACCACGCTACATGAAGGGAATACTTTGGTGGTTCTGGATTCCCAGGCCTCAGGAAGAATCTAGAGTAGCACCAAGCTGGCAAAGCTGCTAAGAAAGGGACGTGGGGTTGAGGGAAGAGGTTAGCAGGCAGGCCTCCGTTTCCTAGCCATCCCATGCCTCTCAGCTCTCCTGGCCAGAGTCCTGCTTCCGTTTTTCCTACAGGGGAAGAATCCGGCATTGGATCCGGAGGGCAGCCGGTAGAAGGGTGGAAGCCCTCCAGGCTCCTTCCCAGGTGGCTCCCTTCTCCTTGCCTTGTGTGGGTTTCTGAAGGCCTCCCAGAGGTGACTGTGCAACCAGAGGCACCCATTCTGGAATGAGTGCAGTGAAAGCAGAGGCAAGGCTCAGCGAGACCAGCCAGGAAGCCTCCCCGTAACGGTGGCTTTTGCTTTGGAGGTCGTATTTCCAGATAGGGGCTGGGAGGGAGGCCGGCAGCTGCCTAGCACAAGCTCACCATCCTCATGAAGCCAAGGCCGTCTTGCAAGAGGCAGCGCCCAGGCCCCGCTTGGGTGCACGTCAGCCCCTGGGGACTGCAGGTACCACTCTGGCTGCTCTTCCCCGCCCCCCCACCCCAGGCCCTGCCAGTTCCCAGTGTGGAGCGTCCTGCAGTGGCCAGCCCAGCTTTCTCCAGCCACAGTGGTGCCCAGGAAACACTCATGTGCCTACAGTGCCCCTTCCAGTCTGAAACTGAGCTTTAAGCTCCTCAGTGTGTGCCCTACATAACCCCTTTGGTTCCAGACTCCCCATCCACCCTAAAAAGCTATCCTTCAGAACAAGGCTATCAATTTTATGTCCATTTCTATCTTGTCTCTGGCTGGTGTGATATTATGTATTTCAGATCTGCTCTAGAAATTATGCCAAAGGGAGAAAAATAAAATTTGTGTTTCTTTTCCTCGGTCAGGGGTTCTTGGTGTAGTCTCCAAGCCTCATTCTGGTCCTAGGACTGCCTCGGACCAGGCCTTCCTGGAGAAGCTGAGTCACACACATTCAGAAGTTCCTAACTAAGCCAGGGCACACAGAGGGGACCAGGCTGCCTGCCTTCTTCCAATTCAGACCTGAGCACAAACTCACAGGGCTCAGGAGCCACACAGGAAAGGTTCCACTCTTGTGGCCACTCAGGCCAGCTCTGCTGTATGGTATAATGGCCAGGCTGCATCTCGTTTCCCAACACCCAGAAGCTCTTGCTCCTGGAAGTTCATCTGCACCCTTCCAGAAGCCAAGACTGGAAAGGGGAGCCAAATAATAAAGCCAGCCTGACGGGGCGCTTGGGTGGCTCAGTCAGTCAGGCATCCATCCGACTTGATTTTTGGCTCAGGTCCTGATCTCAGGGTCATGAGATCAAGCCCCGCATCAGGCTCTGTGCTCAGCATGGAGTCTGTGTGGGATTCTCTCTCTCTTCCTCCCCACCCCTGTCCCCCACACATACACTCTCTCTAAACAAATAAATCTTTAAAAAAAAAAAAAAAGCCAGCCTGGACCCCCACTTCTTACCAGCAGTGGAGGAGGCCTCTAGCTTCCACCCAGAGCCAAACCCCTTCCAGCTACCCAACCCTGAGCTGTGCACCAAACCAGAGGCTAGAGTGCTCCTGGGCCCATACAGCACTCCATACTCTTGTCACACCTCACCAGTGGCCAACTCTGGTACTCAAGGGGCAGCTTCTCCTCCTTCAAGGCACATTCCCCCACACCCTGCACCTCCTTCCGTTTCAGCCGGTTTCTTCTGCTTATGTCGGTCTAAGGAACAGGACACATTCAAGGCAATGCTGTCCCAAGCCCTCGACCCCAGGGGTCCACTACTCGGTGCAAAAGTCTTGCTCCTTTAAATTCCCTGCCGAGAAGAACGACAATAGAAAACTTTTCCAGATACAAAGGAGTTTGTTTTAGCTCAGATATAAATGAGTAGGCACAGCCCCTTGTCCATTCTCTCAAGAGCAGACCAATTACATAGAAGGGAGTCACTAGCTGGCCTGCATAGGGTCCATCCCTTACAAGACAAAAGCTCCAAGTCTCGTTTTCCAGGCGAGTCCAGCTGAAAAGTCCTTTCCAACTTGGGAGTCAGGCCGCATTCGCAAGTTTCTTTGGGTCGTAGCTGGGAAGCACCAGCTCAAGTAGAAAAGTTTCTTTAACGGAAGTCTCTCAAAAACTGTTCCAACACAGCTGTCCAGTGCATTAGCTCTGTGCACGCCTCCTCGGATCCTGTCCAGCCCTCCGAATTCTCAGCTCCGTGCAGTCTGGAAGCTGACGGCACGGGTCTTTTAGGGGACGGCGGCAGCTCGGCCCTCCGCGTCCGTCGTTGCCCAGGCTTCTGGTTCAGGACGGCGCGGCGGCGCCCCTCCGGCGGGCAGCCCGCACCAAGCACTGCTGCAGGACGGGGTAGAGGCGCTGGCAGCCCTCCAGGCCCAGGCGCACCGCCTCGGCCCAGCTCTCGGTCGGGCCGCCCTCCCCGCTGCCCAGCAGCCCGGCCACCTGGTTGAGCACAGGCATGAGCGCCACGGTGAGGCCGGCGGCGGCGTGCTCCTCCTCGAGTCGCGTGGGGTCCAGCAGCCAGGTGGGCGCCGGCTCCGGGGTGCGGCTCAGGCCGCAGCCCACCACCAGGTCGTACATCTCGACGCCCGCGTCGGCCAGGGCGAGCGCGGCGGCCGTGAGCGCGGCGGCCAGCG